CACCGAACTGCAAGGAAGGGATGGAGTCCAGCAAGGTGGCTGGTGGTTATGTGAGAGCTTTGCTGCAGTTACCATCAAGTGCCACTTCCTCCCACCTCTCCTGGTTCTGCAGAGGATTTGATTAGCTGGAGAGGTGGGCCTGAGCCGCAAAGTTAGGATTCCCAGGACCAGTACAAATGTCTCCGGAATCCAAACGGGGGGGTTAGGTCAGGCCCCTCTCTAGTCAGTGCGGTTGGTTGTTACAGGTTTGCGAGTTTCAGAGGTGGTGTGAATCTGGGTGTCAGCGTGGTGTGAGGCTAAGTGAGCTGTAGCTCACGAAAGCTCATGCTCAAATAAATTGGTTAGTCTCTAAGGTGCCACAAGTACTCCTTTTCTTTTTGCGAATACAGACTAACACGGCTGTTACTCTGAAACCTGTACCATAGGTGTCAGTTCCAGTGTCTGCATGTTCATGTGAGTTCAGGGCTCGGTTTGTGTGCGTGTGAGCTTGAGTGTCGACGTGCATTTGTACGTGTGTGAGTTTGGGCGTCTGTGTGCACCCTTGACTTTGGGCCTACATGGGAAAAATCTTTTCAAAGTAGATTATTGCTTGCCTTTGTTTCAGCTGCATGTGGGCTATGTATTGTATTGGTGATAAAATGATCCAGCCCCGGCACCAGTTTTTAACTGTTTGGCAGTAAATTCCACAGGGTGATTATGTGCTGTCTGAAGAAAATAGATCCTTTAATTTGCCCTAAATTCACAGGTCATTCTGGTTTAATTGACTCCTGTCATGTATATAAATTGAACAGATTTGTGAGCATCCATTCTCTGAATCTTTTTAATCTCTGCTAGGGCTTCTTTAAGTATTAGAGGGGTAGCCATGTTAGTCTGTATCCACAAGAAGTGGGTTTTTTACTCACAAAAGCTTATGCCCAAATAAATCTGTTAGTCTTTAAGGTGCCACCGGACTCCTCGTTGTTTTTTAAGGGCTTCTTTAAGTTAATGCAGCCCTAACTGGACACAGAGCACCAAATGTTCTCAGTGTTGTGTCATTGTAATACGTTCTGTGTTTTCTATCCCTTGTTTTTAATGCACCCAAACACCTTATTTGCTCTAACTGCAGCTGTATCCTAAGCAAACAACTTTACTGATCTGAATTCCACCTGCCACTGCACTGCCTGATCTCCCAGTGTGTTTGAATCCACCTGAACTTCCTCACAACCTTCTGTAATTTGTATTCACCCAAACTACACAGGACTGTTCTGTGGCTTTACCACCCATATGCATTGTGTAGCCCCGTCACCAGCTTCCTGACTCTAAGAGGTGAGGAAGAGAAAGGGACCAGGGCCAGACCACTTCCACACCACCTCTGGAATGGCTAGTGCTGCTAGTGTCACTGACTCACCCACACCTAGAGCTCATGACCCTGGGAGTCCGTCTGCCCCCCGCAAAGGTGAGAGGGGTTTCTAGGCTATCTCCTCCTGTCCATCCCTGCATATTAGCCGCTGGGATCTGGTTCTTGGCATTATCATCAGACTTCACCAACTGGGTGCCAAAGTTCTGTATCTAATTCGTGGCCTCCATTACTATAGAGCATTCACAAAAAATAATAAGCTTCACAACCTCCCTGTGAAGTAGGTCAGCAGCATTATCCCCATTTTATACACACACAAACTGAGGCCTAGAGAGATCAATAAGTCATTTACCCAAGGTCGCGCAGTAAGTCCGTAGCAGAGGCAGGAACAGAACTGAGATCTCTTGAATCCCACTTCAGTGTCTTAGCCATAAAACTTTCCCTCCTCCTCCTCCTAATTCTCCTCTTCCAAATAATTTAGAAACACATGAAATGGAACACAGAAGCTGCCAGAGTGGATAAGACCACAACCTAGTCTGCTGTCCTGTCAACAACCATGGCCAGTACCAGATGTTTCAGAGAAAGCTGTAAAGCCCCCTCGTGGATAATTATGCAATAATGTGCCAATAGGGGGAAGTTTTCTTGATCCCATTCAGTTAGAAGTTGGCTTATCCCCTGATAAATAAAGATTAAAGCAAATTTATTCATTTTTATTCTGTCTAATATAAGTGCAGATGTTCTTGTGACTATGGGGCTAATGATATGGACTGCCTTTGTAAAGTGCTTTGAGATCTGCAGATGAAAAACACTATATAAGACCTAGGTATTATTATTATTTTCAGATTGAATAAATATATAAAGTCTTCTTAATCTTGCTAAACTCTTGGCCTTGGTAGCCTGTGGCAGGGAGTTCTATAGTTTAAGTATGTATTGTGGTTGGTTTTTTTTTCTTAAAAAAGCTTTAAATTTTTTGCCTTTTTATTTCATTGAATGCCCCTTTGTTTGTTGTATCATGAGAGGATAAATAGAAGCGATGGATGTACCTTCTCTATACCAATCATTATTTTATATAACTCCTTCCTGTCCACTCTTTTGCGTCTCCTCTCTAAACTAAACTGTTTTTGTATAGAAGTTTTTCTTAGGCCTTTAATAATTTGTGCTGTCCTTCTCTGGACCTTTTTCTGTTTCTGCTCTATCCTTTTTGAGATGGGATGACCAGCAGGGAAAACATTAGTCAAGGTGAGGATCTATCTAATGGCATTATGATATTTTTAGTATTGTTCTCTATCCCTTTTTTAATACAACCTAACAGCTCGTTTGCTTTTTTGAGTGCCATTGCTCATTGAGCAGGTATTTTCATTGAGCTCTCCACAATGATGCACACAGGTCTTTAGTGGTTACTTTAATTTAGAACCCATCAATGCGTATGAGTAGTACAAATTGTTCCTTCCAATGTGCATAACCTTGGGCTTGTCTACACTGAATTTCATCTGTCACCATGTTGCTTATTCACCTGGCTTTGTTAGGTACTTCTGGAATTCCTGACAGTTTTTTCTGTTCTTGAATAACCCCAGTAATGTCGTATCAGCCGGAAATGTTGCCACCACACTGTTCATCCCTTTGCCAGTTCATTGGCAAATACAATGAACACCAGCATTAGTGTGTACTTAGTGGGGTAGGTACTCCACTGTTAACCTTTGGCAATGCTGTACATTTACCATTTATTTCTACGCTTTGTTTTCTGTCTCTTAGGTAGGTCTACACTGGAAAAAGGAGAGGTGTTAGCATTCGCTACTTTGGATTAAAATAGCAGTGAAGATACAGCAACTTGGGTTAGCAGGTTGTGTATAAGCCTTTAGGCCAGTCTGGTGTTGAACTCGTGTTGTTAATCTGAGTTACGAGCCAAGTTGCTGTGTCTTCACTGCCATTTTAACCCTGGTTAGCTAGTGCTAACACTTTTTTTGCAATATAGATGTACAGTTAGCTGTGTCTACGCTAGTTTCTCCTCTCCAAATCTTCCAGTGTTGCTACCACTGATTCAGCTTCAGTGGGGCAGCAACAGTGGAAGTGCTCGTGTAGACAGGGCTCCTGTGGTCACTAGCATTTACATTGCCACGTTGTCTGACTCTGCTCAGAGCAGGTTTAAAATGAGGTAGTGGTAAAAACACCAATGGCTGCGGGAACCTTGTCGCAACTAGAGATCCCACCTTTGTAACCATTGGTAGAGTTGAATTGGGGTATAGCAAAGCTGAGAATTTTTGGGGGGGATGGGGAATAGATTAACGCAGACAAGGCAATAGCCAGTTTCTGATCCATTACCTTGTTTGTTTGTTTCTTACTAGTAACAACTTACTTTTCATAATAGCTGTTTGTGAAGGACTTCATTGAAGGCTATTTGAAAGTTCAAATAGATATCTTCCCTTTCTTCTTTATTTATTCCTGTGTTAACAGGCTCAGGGAATTCTAGTATGTGGAGATTAGAGAGGAATGATTTTTTTCCTTCCCCAAATCCATGCCGGTTTGTCTCAGTCATATCACATTCAGCTAGGTGATTTATGTAGCTCACTCTATAACTATTGTTTTAACTAATTTACCTGGTATAGAAGTAAGGTCAACTGGGCTATAAGTTCCAGGATCACTCTTGGATCCTTTTTTAAAGACAGGTTACCCTCCAGTTGTCGAGTAAAAGAGCTGATTTTAATGAGAGCTGGTGTATTTTGTTAGCAGCTCATCCACTTTTAAAATTCCGTCACAATTCTTGGTGCCTTACACAATGGAAATGCTGCAGTTGTTCCATCAACTTCCTCTTTTGGCACCTCACTGTGTGCAAGTGCCTTATCTGTATTACCTGAAAAGAATCGTTCTGGGGTAGTTCTCTCCCCAACATCCTCCCTCCACTTTTGGTTGCCCAGTGGACCCACCAATTTGCTCACAGGCTTCCAGTTTCTGATACTGTTATTTAAACATTAATATCTATACCAGTGCCTAGAGGTGCCAGTCAGGATCAGGAATTTGTGGTGACTTGTATTTATCTTTGGCTATTTGGCTCCTTCAGATTCCCTCCTAGCTCTCCTAATTCCATCACTCATTTTGCCAGCTATAGCTTAGGCACCTGCTATGGTTTATGCATCTTCCTATGGTTTTTATTTGGGCTGGATTACCCTTTTTAAAGGATCCTTGTTTTATATGAGGAATGTCCCTGAAACTTGCCATTTAACCCTGCTGCTTTTTCTTGTCTTCCCTTGCTTTCTTTTGTGTTTGGAGGGATGCAGACCTGGGATTCTGCCTAGATAATCTAATGGTCCCTCCTGGCCAGAAACACCATGAAATCAAGTTTGTGTTGAAGTATTTTAATTTTCTGACGTGACCTTTTAGGTTCTTTCTAACTCAATTTCTTGCCTTTAAAAGTTAACTAGCACTGATCCCATTTCAGACATCTCACTGTTAGATTTTGTGTGATCTGAGGAGCTGCTGTTCACTACGACTCTCTGGGTAAATTTTTTCAAACGAGCTTAAGTGATTTAAGAGCATAAGTCTCCCTGAAACTCAGTGGGTCATGTAAATACTTCTGAAAATGTTACCTTCTCTCTCTGCTTGCTGAGTCTAGTGCTTAAGCCATGAGGAGCTTCCACTCAACACTTGGGTGTTATTTCTTTTCTTTCAGCCTTTTATGAAGGGCCATATCAAAATCACTTTGAAAATCCAAGTCAGTTCACTTTACCCTGCATTGGGGCCAATCCATGTGTGTCTGATGCGGGCACTATGGGGCACACGGAAAACTCATCCTGCTGAATCTGAGGGAGGGAGAGAAAAAGAGAGACTCAGAGATGAGAGTGCAGAGAGAGAAGAACACACACACACGCGGGGAGACATTTGTGCTGAAGCACTGTCCAAATGCGGTTTAATCTTGGTGAGTCTCAGCATTTGAAATGCATAATTTCCCTGCTCACCGCCTACTGTATGTTTTGTATGACTGCACACGCCCCTGTCTAGCCACCTGCCCCTTTCCCAAATCTTCTCCCTCCTTTCAAGCCAACTGGGAAGCCCTTCTGTATTAGGCCAGCTCTATCCTCTGCAGAGCACATCACAACCACCTCCTCCCTTACAGCCAGCAGAATGCTTTCTGCTTTGTCAAACCCACCCAGAGCACTGAGCATAGGTTCAGAGGCAGGACTGGCACCAATGTTCTGTTTCTGATGGGTTTGGTGACCCCTCTGGAGGACTTTAGCCACCTGTTGCTCGAAAAGGGTTCTCTCTCAAATCACCTTCTCTCACAAGCTAAGTTGTGCGTTGGCTTACTGATGGGAAGCCAGGCCAAGGTGAGGAGCTCTGCATTCAGTTCTGAACATGGTGAGGATGGTACTCATTTTTATGTCTTATGGTAGTCCCATAGTCTGGGCCCAGCTCCTGGGAAAGTTCTGTCTCCTGCAGTCACGAGCCTACCCCACTGGTTGAAAGCATCACTGTTCTAGTGCAACGTTGCTGTTGTAGGAGATGATGGTTGCAGAGGGACGGAAGAATTCTCAGGTAGTGAGGGCCAGTCCCATGGATGTCTCTGAGTATTGGACAGAGACTTTGAACTGGACTCTGCATTTAGGGCCTGAAGTCAATGGAAAAGCTCCCACCAACTTTTGTGTTGCAGGAGCAGGGGTGTAATTGGGTGCCAGTGCAGAAACCCCAGGTTATTTTAATGTTTGTGGCAACCTGTGTTTCTGAGTGGGCCTGAGGTGTTGAACACATGGGTCAAGTTGACCAGGTCTGTGTCTGATAGGATCAGAAATAAACTTCTGGCTGCTGGCAGATATACATGGGCATTTTATGCCACTTTGGTTATTTGAACATACAATAGCATTGAGGAGTCCAAAAATGCCCTTGCTAGTGGGGATGTTGTAGAGGAAGCAGATTCTTAGCAGTGTTTCCCTATTCCTGCCAACAACATCTCATTCTTACCAAGGATCAGCTTTCGTCGGCTTCAATTGGGTGCTGGTTTGGGCAGGCACTGAGAGCTGGTGGATGCTGCTGCTTGTGTTTGATGTAAAGGAGGGGTGGAGCTGAGTGTTGTCTTTGTTCTGCTGGCATTTCAGCCCATGTCTCACCAGCTGTCCCAAAGGCTACAGTTAGATATTCACTAATATTAGAAAGAGAGAGAACTGAGCCACGGGGACTCTGCAGGTGAGGGCTTTGGAGGGGCAGTTGCCCATGACAACCCTCTAGGTTGGGTCTTGGAGGAACTACCTGTGCCATTTCAGGGCATTTCTATTTAAATCTTGCAGTTTCTTAGAGGTGGAGCAGAAGTGTCTGGTGATCAGTGGTATCGAATGCTGCAGAGGGGTCTAGCAGGATGTGTGTGGTGCTCTTCCCTTGTCTATAGTCAGGAGGAGATCATCCACCGGAGGAACAAGTGCCTTCTATGTCCCATACTCTGGTTTGAAGCCTGACTGGCAGCTATCCAGGATCCTGGCAGCTAACAGTGGATACTGGAGACCATTTTTTGCCAGCTTTTTCATTAGGTCGCTAAGAAAAGGGAAGTTTAGATAGTGGATGGTGGGTTCGTGAGGTCTCTACATCAAACTGGTCCCGTTAGCACTGATTGGACTATTGCCATATGTTTTATGGCTAATGGTAGATTCCCCTCATCATCAGTCTGTCTGTTAGTGGGGGTCCCAGATATACTGTACTTTCTTTCACCACCCAGGAAAGGCAGGGCCAGAGAACCAGACGGTGGCCCTGGGAGCCAATAGTGCTTCCATCAGTACTTCCAGCATAACAGGGCTAAATCTGTGGAAGGAGGAGAGTATTGTTTTGATTTTCTGCTGCTGCTCCTGGTGTCTTGAGAGCCCCTCTCAGATGTGGGTGCCTTTCTCTGAGCAGTAGGATGATAACTTCTCACAGTGCAAGGTGGTGTGTGCTGGAGTTAGTTGGAGTTTCCTAAGGGGTGGCAAAATTCTGCAGGGCATGCCTTTGCTGTCTCTGGGGCAGAGGAGAGGGGGGCTATCTTTACCTCCTCCACAGCAGGGGCACACATGTGCAGACATTCCTTGGATCTGGGTTGGGCTGCATTTTCTCTCAAGTTTTTTCTTCCTACTGTTTTTTGTCTCGGGTTGCCCAATAACCTTGGTGATCTGTGTGGGCAATGGGGCAAGAGAGGGGGCTTCGAGGCTAAAATATCAGATGGGAACAGGTGTGCCTCACTGATTCTCCCGTTCTTTTGCCTCTAGGATGGGTGGACATTTCTGTGAGTAAATGACTCCCAGCCTCAGTCCCGTGCTTCCTGTGCCAGCCTAGTGCTAGTGTCCTGTCCTGCTACACAGAAGACTTGGATTCTATTCCCAGCACCAATCCCTCACCCCCCTGGCCTGCCTAGTGCTTAGTGATGGTGAAGAGACTAGAGCCCTGCCCTGCTATACAAGAGACTGGGGTTCAGTCCCTAGCTCCAGTCTCTCCCTTTCTAGGCCAGCCTGATACATGAGGCTCTGCAGTGCCATGCAGGAGACTGGGTTTGATGCCCAGTGTCTTGTGTCAGTCCCTGCATCCTCCCGATGCTTAGTGCTCTGCAGAAAGCCATGCAGGAAGCTGTGGTTTGGCTCTCTCGCCTGGCAGGGGCTACAAGTTGTGTGGGGGCAGCATATTCCTGGTTCCCATTTTGTCTCTGTGAGCTCACAGGGCTCTGACCTGACCTTCTTCCCACATTGGAGATCCTAGAACACAAGTGGGGCTGGACGGGTTTAATTCAAACCGGCTGCCCCCAGCCTGCCCTTCCTCTCCCCTAGAATACAGGCGAACTCTGGGGAGCTGTAGACAGCAATTGCCTCCCACTGCCTTCACTGGCTGCTGGATTTTTTCTCCTCTGCTGGAGACCGTGTGTCGAGGACAATTATCCAAGCTGCATAAAAGCTGTTTTCCTATAATGGGCTGAACTCCTTGTACTGTGACAAACTGTCCAGCTGCTCTGGCTCCCTCCTGGTCTCTCTCATCCCTATTACTCCGTCTCTGCCTCTTTTGCTGTTTCTTTCTCTTTCATTCCTTCTATTCCTCACTCCCTTTCTCTGCCTGTCTCCCTCGTCTCTCCCCATACACATACACACAAGGCAGAGGCAGGGGAACAGCCAGGTCAAGAACCTAGTTGCCACAACAAAAGAATCAAAGGAGTCCAATAAAATGTAGCACACTCTTACCTGTGACTGCAGCCCCGGCAACCTGAGCGTTTTGTGTATGTAAGTCTCAGGGCACTTTTTTTGCTGTGGCAGGTGTGTGCACTTTTGTAGTTGGGTTACACTTGCAAAGGTGTGTGTGTGTGTGCGTGCGTGCACGCACGCACATGTAAGCTTATGTGTGTGTGTTGACACATCTATCTACCCGTCTGATCTATTTCGGGTTTTCTGGAGTGCCCAACACCATAGTATCTATGTGATTCATAGGTCTATGAGGTCTGCATACAGTACCCCTCATGTACCTCCTGAGTCTTCTGCTCTGCTCCATTCCCCTTCTGTTAAGTTATTGTTGTTGTTTATAGTGAGAAATGCTTTGTCGTAGAAGAAGGTTTTGCAGGGTGCCCTGAAAGGAGTCAGACTCTGGATTGGTTTGACCTTCTCTAGCAGCTTGTTTCACAGCTGAATCCCCTTGATTGAGAGAGATTTGTCTCTGACTCCTGCATGCTTCCTCTGGCCTTGGTGAGGTGCATTGTCCCAAAGGAGAGATGCTATTACTGACGTAGCTGCGTGAGGGCTGGGAAGATCAGGACCAGGTGTTGAACTGGTATGGAAGTGGACTGGACGCCAGTGGAGGGATTGGAGCTCAGGGACAAAGCATTTACAGCAGTCCATCCCGTTGAGAGTGTCTCTGTGTGAGCACATGCTAGTTATTTTCAGAGAGTGGAAACTCATTTTGCAAAATGCTGCCTGCACTGATCTGTCCTGGGGTGTTAAATGGTTGATGTCCTCTACCTCAACCTCCCCCAAGGATGTTTAACTTCTTGAGCCCCCTCCAGGCATTCTTGTTTCAGAGTCCCCTCACCTGCTGGCAAGGGGCTGGAGGATGTGCCCTGCTCTGTCTAAAGGGACCCTAGTGCTCTGCCAGGATACCAAGGAGTTTAGGGTCCAAATTTGTGCTCCCCGAGTGAGATACTGGATTCAGTTTTCAAGCTTGACTTGTCTGGAGTTGGCATTGAGGGGCTCTTGGTATCACAGGGAGGTCTCCCTGATCCACTATTCTGTTCTACGCAGGTTCTTATACCATGATAATTACTATAGCATCGGAGCGCTTTCCAGTAGCGCTAAGCAACCCGGTTAACTCTGTCATGTATGGTTCATTCTCTCTCAGCCTCACAAGAGGAGACTTGTGTGTGCAATATAGGGTTTGGGTTTGAGGGATGTTTTTTTTAAAGTAGTCACTGCTCTATGTTTATACAGGAGAAGGCTGGTCAAAGAAATATGTCTTGCACTTGAAGCAGAAGATGGTGAGGCTTGTGACGGTCTGTAGTTCCACAACCTCTGAGCAGCCCCTGAGAAAACTCCATCTCCAGCACAGACAAGCTTTATGGTCAAGAATTTCAGTGTGCCAGAGAAGCAGAGTTGTTGAGCAATGGTCTTCATTCTGGAGCTTTATGTGATCTTTTACATATGCTGGGCCTGGGCCATGGAGCACCTTGAATCATAGAATCGTATGACTGAAAGGGACCTCGAGAGGTCTTCTAGTCCAGTCCCTTGCACTCATGGCAGGTCTAAGGATTATCTAGACCAGCGGTGTCCAATACGTTCACCACTAGCCAGATGTGGCTAATAGGCTATTGAATTGTGGCTAATGCATGTGGCTTTTTTATAATGTAGCTAATAAGAAAAATTCAAAACTACAAGTGTGGCTAGCATCGAATTTCTATTGGCCATGGCTGATCTAGACCATCCCTAATAGGTGTTTGTCTAACTTGCTCTTAAAAATCTCCAATGACAGAGACTCCGCAACCTCCCTAGGCAATTTTTTCCAGTACTTAACCATCCTGATAATTAGAAAGTTTTTCCTAATGTCCAACCTAAACTGCCCTTGCTGCAATTTAAGGCCATTGCTTCTTGTCCTATCCTCAGAGATTAAAGAGAACAATTTTTCTCCCTCTTCCTTGTAACAAGCTTTTATGTACTTGAAAACTGTTGAAGACTGAGAGCCAAGTCTGAGGACTGAATGTCCTGTATTGCAACTTACTGGATGTGAGACTGGATGTAAAATCCCACATTGTTGTATTCATTGATCAATAATTCATAATGCTATAAGCAGAGTATTCAAGCCAAGCACTTAAAAGTTAGGAAATGCAGAGTTTAGGTTGAAAGCTCAGCCTTAACTCTGCCCATTACTCCATTGTTTATGTTTTAATATATAGGGTATGTCTGCACTGCAGCTGGGAGGTGTAATTCCCAGCTCGGGTAGATATACACATATTAGCTCTGATCTAGCTAGCGGGCTAACAATAGCAGAGTGGCTCTGGTGGTAAGGGCAGTGGCTTGGGGTAGCTGCCCGAGTGCAATCCTGTCTGAGATCCTAGGTACAAGTCTGAACTACTGCCTTTGCCACTGTGGCCACACTGCTATTTTTAGCACATGAGCTCGATCACAGCTAGCATGTGTAAGTCTACACAAGCTGGGAATTATACTTCCCAGCTGAAATGCAGACATAGCCTATATGTTAAAACATAAGCAGTGGGTTAGTGAGCAGAGTAAAGGCTGAGCTTGCAATCTGAGCTCTGTATTTCCTACCTTTTTAGTGCTTGTTTTTGTTTTAAACTTTTGAAAGTTACGCTAATGCTATTTTTTTGCTGGTCATTTCTCCGGGTATTGTGAATATCTGAGTAATTGGGTGTGAACTGCTAGGAGCTGAGGTTTGTGGCAATGTCACTGAAAAAGGGAGCTCACTCCAGAATTGCTTTTCTGTTTGGGATTTTGACTGACTGATGCTGTGAGGTATTAGCCACTTTCATGCAGATAGCAGAAAAGCATAGATTTGCATGGGTCTTTTTACTTGTAAATTTGCTGGAATTCTAATAATGTAGCAGGATAAAGTCAGTCACAGTTTATTACCTTCCTGAATGTTGAGTGTGCCTGTGCCCCAGACACGGAGCTTTCATAGTAATAGTGTAAGGCAGAATAAATCATGGCTATTAAAGGGTCAGGTGACTGGTACACTTCTGTGATACAGAGTCAAGGTCACCGGTTGAAATCCAGACCTGGCCAGTGGACTTTTACACTTGTTTGCGGTGTTGTTGTAGCCATCTAGTTTGAATTTGAGAGGTCTCCTAATTCCTAGTGTCCACTTCACTGAAACCACACTATAATTGGCATGAATAGGCCCCTGGTGGCTGTCTGAGCAGAGAGGCAAGGACCGAACAGGCCCTGGAGAGCACCCTACCCCAGTGCATGGGGAAGGTCACAGTGGGTTGGTGGAACAGCACGAGCGCTAAGTTGGCTTTGCCACTGAACAGGTTGTAGCTATTCTGCTGCTAAATAGGATCCGGTTGCCAAGGAGCTGCCCATCAGCACCATTTACCCCGCTAAATTGACAGAAAATACTTTGTGTTTTTGTTTTGCTGTGTCTTTAAATAGAATGTCTTCCTCTGAGGCAGTTTCTGTGCTGACACCCTCAGGATGGCATCTGTCTTCCCCCCACTTTACTCCACTGCACTCACACTGAGAACAGAGCCACACGTGTGTGCTTTAAATGGGAGAAATGGTCCTGACTTTTGCCTTACGCTGTGGCACGCCTCCCATTGGCTCTGTGTCAGTTCCTGTTCATCAGCAAACCCTGATCCCAGAATTTAGCTGACAATAGGTGATGCAGGTGCATCACCAAGGAAACAAACAAACAAAAGGCAGCTGCATTTGAAACCTAGGGGAGTAAAAGTGTGTGTGTAAGTGCGTGCAGGGGGGAGGGAGGGAGCGAAGATGGAGGGAGGAATAAGGAGCAAAGAGTTGGAGAAAGGGGCTGGCTGATGTTTTGATCTCTATGCAGGTACATCTGCGCTCTGCGGAACGCCTCCGGGACCTGTGCTGTGCCAACAGAGGCACCTTCATCAAAGTGGGACAGCATCTGGGGGCACTCGACTACCTTCTGCCTGAGGAATACACTCGCACCCTCAAGATACTACACAGCCAGGCCCCACAGAGCAGCATGCAGGAAATTGAACAAGTGATCCGTGAGGACCTGGGCAAAGAGGTATGAGGCACTGAAGCCCTCACTGGCCTGCCAGGCCAGCCAGCTGCAGCATGGCAACTCTGGGCCACTGGCCAGATGGAAACAGGAGCAATGAGCTGCTTGGTGATTTTCCTTCATAGATGGAAACATGACAAGGGAGTTCAGGACACCGGCCATGTGCTTTGGAAGACTTAGATGAAGAGAGACTGCTGTGGGAGTCATCTTATCCTAGCTCTGGGGCAAGTCTGGTATTTCCCACACATTGCTGGGTATGGCTGGCAAAGTCTAGTGAGAATTACAGGGAAGTGGGGAGAGGGTTGCCAGGCAGGAATGAGGGACATCAGCAGAACTGTACGTGCAAGGGTCCAGGACAAGAATAGCGAGGGGTGTTGGAGGTCAGGATTGAGGGCCATGAGTAGAGCTCTGGGGTTCCCCAGGATTGGAACCGGGGGTGTTGCAGTTGAGAAGCAAGATGCATTGGCAGATCTGTGTGTGGGCAGATAGCACTGCCTCTGGCTGTTCTCTACCATGTCTAGCTGGCACTGACAGCCCTTTACTTTCACAAGCCCCTAATTAACCCCAGATGAAAAAAATAAATAATTTCCTTTAATAACAGCATAAATCGCTTTTGCTGCTGACACTAAGGCAACAGAGTAGCAAAGGAAGCTGTGCCATTAACTCTTGGGGCCTGGGAGTGAAGTAACTGTGATATCCTGCGGCTTTTCAACTCCTCCCTCATGGTGACAGCTCTACCCCCAGGCTGAGGAGCGCCTCGGATGTAGGGAGTAGGCCATAGGGAATGTGGGTGTGGAGCAGAGCAGTGGGGATGGGAGTGTATGTGGGGAGAAGGGGCAGCTTTATGCCTTGGTAATGGTAGAGAATGTATGTGGGGGTAAATGGGTCAGAGTGCTGGAGGAGAGTTGGGTAGTGTGGGAGCAAGGAGTGCGTGTCAGGTACTTTGTTATGGCTACGTGTGTGGGAACGTGTTGGGGAGAGTGTGCCTGGCTGTTTGGGTAGTATGGCTAGGTGTGTGTACCTGGGAGTCTGTAGGGAGGTGTTCCTGGCGGATATGTAGGGGGTTGGGGTGGGTCTGGCTCTGTGTAAGTTGTAGGGGTGGCTATTCGTCAATGACATGAGGGATTGGATAAGGGGGTTGGATATTCATGAATGACAGTGAGCATTTCCCCATAGTTCAACTGCAAAGAGTTAATGTCAGCTTCTGATGGGCCTTCATATTGCCTGTGTGAGACCAGCCCCCACCCAGCTTCATCACATGGTTAGTACCAGCTGGATTTGTAGCACAGCAAATAGATGGAGGGAGAGAAACAGGCCAGGGTAACCACTTCCTGCAGTACCCATCCTCTAGCTGCTCTGTAGAGTAGAGGTTCAGCCAGCCTTCCCCTGTGGTGGGTGGAGAGGGAAGCTGGGCTGGGATTAGACAGTATTAAAACACAAAAGCAGCTGCCTCTGTGCTGCTTCTCTCTGTAGCTGAATGGGGCGCTCAGTGACAGGGCCTTTTCTTCTCTCTCAAATGCATTTTCAGCTGCCACTGATCCGCCCTGGTTTCTTTCAGCGTTTCAGGAGTTAGATGAGCTTTCCATGCCTCATTGATTCCCAGCGAGGCAGCTCGAATCCCCCTCTCAGCAGCAGCCTTTCCTCTTAGCATTCATTTCACTCACATGGGCAGTGTTGGGGTGATCTTTAATTTTAAAGAGACAGAGGAAGCAAATAGGAATGCTAAAGAAAGAGAGAAAAGGGTATTAAAAGAGACAGAGAAGAAAGAATCAGACAGACATAAGGGAAGAAAAATGGAGAAAAAGAAAGGCACTGGTAAGGGAGGTCAGAGGTAGTTGCTTGAGTCCATTAGTTATAGGCAACTGAGTCAAGGTAGTTAAAAACAAAAAGGGCTTTGAGAAGCCTAATCTGCTGAAGGCCTCCTTGCTGGAGCCTGTAGAAAGTCGTGGGATAACACCGCGGATGAAGTTAGTCCATGCGTAGAAATATGCTCACCACAATTTAAAAACAAAATGTTGAATTGAAAATTGGGATTTGGGTAAGAGGGTGGGAGTGAGAGATGGAATATTGAAATATTCCCTTGGTGGGTCAGGAACCCAGAGTCAACAGCATGATGCCTGGAAACCTGCAGCTAAATTAGCAGGAGTTTGCAATGGGATGTGATAGGGAGGGGGAAAAAAACCAATAATACTGACTTGAATATGCAGCAGCACCTTCTCTAGGTGGCCTTAACGTGACCCCACCTAGAATAGTTTCTTAAAAAGTGACCCGTAGGGATAATTACTCCAGCCAGGACAAGTTAGACATTTGAGAACTCACTACCCAAAGAATTAAATTTAAATGTAAGAGAGAAATTAAAATTATGAAATGCATAGACCAGTCAAAAGACTGAAATAACAACACTTTGAAAGAATAAAATTATAGAGAATATATGTGCATTGCAGGAAGTGCCAAGAACAACAACAGTGTTGGGAGGTGTGTGACACAGACTCTGTGTGTGTGTGTGTGAGAGTGAGACACAGAGACCGTGTGTGTGAGAGTGTGTGTGTGTGTGTGTCAGTGTCAGAGAGAGAGAGAGAGACACACACACACACACACACACAGACTGTGTGCGTTCTGGCTGCTGGGGAAATTTCTTAGAGATGCCTGTCTGCTGTTTCTTCAAGGCACTCGCTGAAAGCTCTCTTCCTCTTGAACTATGTCCCCGCATCCCCACTCTGCGGAGTTGGGGTACATGGGCAGGGAGGAGGGGGAGAGACAGACAGACAGAGATTGTGTGTGCTGGCTGTTGGGGAAGTCTCTGAGAGACCATGCAGTGTCTCTTTAAGGCACTCACTCACCCGAAGGCTTGTTCAGACCTCAGAGCTGCTGTGAGTCCTGAGCCCTGTCCCCTCCCCTCTACCTTGCTCTGCGGAGATGGGGTACAGGGGCTGGGGGAGGGACCTTCCTCCCCTCCTTCCCTGCACAGTCAGAAGGAGGGTCCTGGGAACAGCTGCAGAAGCCACGTGGCTGCAAAGCAGCCTGGGGGAGGGGCACCTGAACACACACTGCCTGCTGGATGTGCGTGGCTCTGCTAATCAACTGTGCGGCACTTGAATCTCTCCTGGGTGGCCACCCAACCATGCAGCTTACAGGGAACACAGGTGGGAACTGTTAGACAGCGTCAGAGGGAAGGAAAGTTTATTCAACTCTGATTTTTATCCGTTCTTTTAACGTAACTTGACAAGGCATGTGCCCCATCCCCAAAGTTTTCTTCTCCTCCACCCCTCTTTACATATACTTTCGGAATGTAGCCAAACTACTTTCAGTGGAACCTGAGACCAGACAAAAGGTTGAAGGATTTATGAGGAGCTCTAAAAAGTGAATCTTTTCTGGTAGTACCAAATCAGTAAACTTTAAAACTAGATCGTAAAAAAAAAAAATTAACAATGTACTTCAGAAATGGGGGGAGGGAGGAGGAACTGGCTGGCTCGGGAACTGGGGAGTGGGATACAGGCCTTTCCTCTCTAGAACACTTGTTCCAGTCTGGTTGGGGGTGTGGGATCCTGGAGCATAGAGCACGTGTTTAGGTTCAGCTCAGGTCATTCCCTTTGATAGCTGTTCAGTGGTGTGGGAGAAAGGAGTTGGTGGGTCTGCATGCAGATCTTAATGGGCAGGTGCCTCTGTCATATAACCCTCCCTCGGCATTGGCACTAATGGGCCAAAGAGTGACTGGACCATTGAGATTGCTCTCCCCAGTCATCCTCAGAGGGGGTCCATTAGTTTTTCTAATCTATGCATTTCCAGAGCATCTTTCACCATAGTATCCTGGTCTCCCTCCTGGATGGGGACCAATTCAGCAGCCTGTGCAACAGCTCCTTTCCTCCATGTGTCTGGCTCCAATGCTGTCCATCCCACCCCCAAATATGACTCTCTATTGCCTGATCTGTTGATTATATAGTAATTCCCAGTTAGCATTCTGTGGTTTGGCAGGGTTCTCATGACCAGACCCAGAAATATCATAGTTATTACAAGAACCCCGGTATGCACCAACAAGACAAGTCAGTAATTATTTTTATTAGCATGGTTAGCAAAATCACAAACATTCTAACCCAGCAAAACAGATAATACAAGATGGCCAAAACGCCCCGTGTCTGAGCATCAGTATATTCACACTCTTTAGCAAAAACCGGAAGTGTTAGTCATCATCCTCAGCAGCAGCAACTGTGTCGTCGTCCTGGCATCTCCTGAGGCGCGCAGGCTGCAATAGAACTTTTATAATGTGTTATGCTGACGCCCGCTGTGCCTCATGCATATTCGGTACGGGAGCGATTTCTGACCCTTTTCCTTATCTGTATTTCCTCACCCTTTTAATGTTGGGGTGCCCTACCCCCATAGCTTACTAGGCCTTTTACCTCAAGCTCATTAACAAACACGTCAATTAGTTACCATGGCATTCTTGTGGTTGGACAGCTGCTAATATTCCTAACTTAAAATATCTAGAGCTGGTATAAATTAACATCTTGGGTTACCTGTCAACAGTTTAGTCATACTTGTTTATTACAGCGTTTTATCCTGTATGATCGACGGTTACTCCTGCTTAGCTGCTTATGCTAAGGCTTTTGGGGGCTTATGCCTGGATTAGTTTAGCTAATCTATAGTTTTACAGGCCTTGAGGCTTGTAGGCTTGTTGCATTACTGCCTCAACTTATACCTATGCCTTTCCTAGCAAATACCTATACCTATAGGCTACACTTCAGGACTGGTCCTCTGGTTTCCAGTGCACTGCCAAGTGGCTTAGACTCCCTGACATCTCTCCCTTCCAGCCACACTGCATGTCCCGACTCATTGTCTTACCTCTGGTTCCAATGCACCTCTCAGTGCAACCACATATCTGGCCCTCCTGCACACCCCAACAGGCCTGAGCTTGTCCCCTCCCATCCAGCCCCACAATGGTCCCCATCCTGCCCGGATTGAAATGCTCACACAGCTCAGTTCTGGTCAACTCTCCAGCCCATCCTCACATA